AAAGGAGACATGTTCAAGTCTCTGTAAGCTGACATTTAAAATTTAGTGAGAATTTATGTCACATGATGGACATTTGCAAACATCCACCTAATATGAGCATAATATCAATATTTAGTAAATCTGCATAATTTATAAATGATTTTAATAACACTAATGTGAGCAGTCTGGTGTGCTGTTGCAGATTTATTGCACTAGCCAGTAAACAAGTTAGTTGATATGCATTTGAAAAACAAAAGAGATTGTAGTTCATATTTCATAAATGATTACAAAAGTTTTAAAAAATCCAAGGTTTTCCATCAATTAAGTCATTAGAAATCAGTTTTTATTCAAGCAATGGAACCTATAACATACTTTTAGTCTAAAAGGAGACATTCTCAAGTCTCTCTAAGTTAACATTTAAAATTTAATAAGAATTTTTTTTCAAATTTTGCAAACATCCACCTAATATTAGCATAATGTGCATATTTATTAAATCCGCTTAATTTATAGATGATTTTAGTAACACTGACGTGAGCAATCTGATGTACTGTTGCCGATTGATTGCTCTCCCCAATAAAAAAAGGGGTTGAAATGAATTTGAAACACAAAAGGAATTGTATTTCATATTTCAGAAATCATTACAAGATTTTAAAAAATCTAAGGTTTTTCTATAAAGTCATTGGAATTCATTTTTATTCAAGCAATGAAACCTCCAAAATACTTTTAGTATAAAATGCGACATTTTCAAGTCTCTGTAAGCTGACATTTAAAATGTTGTGAGAATTTTTTTGTCACATTTTGCAAACATATACCTAATATTAGCATAATATGAATATTTATTAAATCCACTGAATTTATAGATGATTTTAATAACACTAATGTGAGCACTCTGATGTTGCCTATTGATTGCAATAACCAGAGTTAAAATGAATTTGAAAAACAAAAGGATTCTAGTTCATATTTCATAAATCATTACAAAGGTAAAAAATTTAATCTAAAAGGTTTTTCCATCAATGAAGTCATTAGAATTCAGTATTTATTCATGCAATGGAACCTACCTCTCTTTTTTAAAAAACAAAAGAGATTGTAGTTCATATTTCATAAATTATTACAAAAGTTACAAAAATTCAAGCAATGGAACTTTTAGTATAGAAGGAGACATTCTCAAGTCTTTTTAAGTTGACATTTAAAATTTAGTGAGAATTTATGTCAAGATGTAGAACTATCTAGTATTTTTTTTTAGCGTTTGAGAAGTGTGATATGATATATGGTGAATAAAAACGTCTTTTTTTTTCTGGCAAAGTGTCTAAAAGTTCTTTCTCCAAAAGTTTTGCGCGGCATGTGGCAGTTGGGTGATAGAGTGGCTTTAAACAAGCAAACAGACGTGAGATATGTGCAGATCTTCGAGCGATTGTGTGTAATTAGTAAAGCACACACACGTTCGAAGGTTAGACAGCTGGCGGTTCTCTAGGGGCTTTGCACTGGCAGGTTTTTCCAAGAACTGCTCAATGATCAAAAGCCAAAGACCTGGAGGAATCCTCACAGAGGTCCAATTAAACACTGCCTGCAGCCTGATTGGACCCTGAGTGATGGAGCTCTCTCATGGATGAGACTTCCTTACAGGGAATTCTTCAGAGCCAGAAAGGCCCACCTCCATATATGTTCATATTTGAATTTCATATTCCTTTGACATTTCCTTTTGTTGACCAGACTCAGCAGTCTGTAGTGAAAAATATGGTAATGAGCCTCAACCCCAACCCAAAAACCAATTCCTGAGAACTCACCTGTCTGGAGTTCCCGGAGGAAAGAAGCAAAGAATCGGCCCTGATTTTGAAAGCTTTAATGAAAGGAACATAAGGAAAGATCATATGCACATGATGCGAAAGGTGGCTCGATATATGCAACGGAAATATTCATCCATATTCATTTCTGTCCGGAGTGGATCCATAACACAGAAATGCACTGCAAACGCATGCGGAGCGCAGTATCATGAGGAGATTCAAGGACGTGCTTTTATAAAAGTTAATTTAATTCTTCCCTAGTCTCTTGGCCCTGTCTTTCTGCAGCAGGGGCTTTAGAACAAATCTTCTTTTGTTAGATAAAGAGCAGTCCTAATTTGTACTGGAATTATGTATTGCTGTCGTAACTACAGCATTACATTTGTACAAAGCCGCATCATGTGCTTGTTCCGAGTGTTTTGACTGAAAAGAGATCTGCCATTCTGCATTCTCTTTCTTTCTTTCTTTCTTTCTTTCTTTCTTTCTTTCTTTCTTTCTTTCTTTCTTGTTTTCTTTCTTTCTTGTTTTTTTTTCTTTCTTTCACATTTAATACTATTATTTTAACATGACATGAGGTGTTTTTATTTTACTTAAACGGCCGACAAACTTTAGTACTTGTTTCACTGTAAAAAAAAAAAAATCCATTTCACACAGTCAGTTTTTGTTGGGACAACGTTCAAGTCCAATTTTCAATTCATCTTCATTCCTATAGCGCTTTTACAATGTAGATTGTATCAAAGCAGCTTTACATGGAAATTCAAGTAAATTGAAACTGTGTCAGTCCAGTTTTCAGAGTTGAAGTTCAGTTTAGTTTAGTTCAGTTTAGTGTGGTTTCATTTTTTAAAAAGTCCAAACACTGAAGAGCAAATTCCTCTATGCGCAGCTCCACAAGTCCCAAACCAAGCAAGCCAGTGGTGACAGTGGCAAAGAACAAAATTTCACCAACTGACAAAAATGAAGGAAAAACCTCAGGAGGTTGCCGTAATCTCTTTGCAAGTTAAAATAAGTGAACTTATTTGTTTTTTTGCTAATTTAATTGGAGTGTCCCAGAAAACCCATCAGTAATTGTGTTGACTTTGCTTATTTTGTATAGGTAGTTTGAAGAAACAGCTAACATCATTCTCTTTTGCTTGATTGTCTGTGCATCTATATATACTGTATATAGAATGGAATGGAATAGTTAGCGGTTCATTCCGCTGTGGCACCGCCTGATAAATAAGGGACTAAGGAAAATGAAGGAATGAATAGTGTATTTTTTAGAACTGAACAAAAGTCTTTATGGACAGTATACACAAATTAAATTGAGATTATTGTCTGTATTTATTTATTTAATATGTATGGCTTTTGTGTTTTTATAAAATAGGAGTTGCTAAACATTTTGGACATGCACAGATAGATAGCATTTTGATTGAATCCAAAATTCCAGGGCCGAATTTTTATTTATTTATTTTTTTGCCCCAGTCCAGCCCTGGTCCTGTGTGTCGTTTTTTTTTTTTGTAATTGGTAACATATCAGAGACTGTAAGGGTCCGTATGTGTTCATATACTGTATGTTGCATTAATTTATTCATTTTATATAATCGCAGATGTTACAGTAGGCTATTTCACATTGATCTGCAGTTATAATCAAATCTTGTTCATAGAAAGGTCAGTAATAAACATTTATACACAAGTATTCATGCATATAAAGCATCTGTTTTATGAGAAGTGCTTCTTATATGATATGTGAACGACGCAGAAGCTTACTTTGACTTTTCTTTAAGTGACAAAAAGTTGACAGAAACGACAGTCCACGTCATTGAGTACCATTGGTACCCTTTTGGCAGTGGAAACGCAAGCCTGATAAAGGTGACACATACCGACCCATACCATACCGTACTGTACCACTCAGTGTTAACGGGCCATATGTAAACACAAGGAAACAATATTAACATTATGCCAGACACTGTAAAAAGGTCATTCCCAACCACTAGACTTTTCTGACAGGGTATTTGAATGTCAGATGTGAAAGTATGTTGTGGGACTACTATACAGAAGTTATCTTTATGGATCATAGATAGCGAAATTAGCAAACGCGATTATGAATGTATGAAAACATGTGCTTGTTTGTTGTAAAAATTCATAATAATGACAATTTATTAATTTGTGTATCTCCTGACTTTCATATGCAGCCATGCTGCTGTTGTAGGTGCTGTATTCTGGAAAATTTTCATTCCTCTTGGTTTCTCAGTTTCAAGGGCTATCTAACCCTTCCTCTGAGCCCTATGCCTTCAAGCTAAAGAGAATTGGGACACCCCTAGCCCTTCACGTGAATGCGCAAAACGAGGGGGAAGGGCTAAGAGGTTAAATTTGGATTGGGCCTTTCTTTTGAAAATGAGTAGTTTCAGCAATGTCTCAGTGATTATAGTCAATGCTTTTTGGTACAGTTAAACAAAACAGTTTTATTAATCATTTAAATCCATTAAAATAAGAGTTTATCACCTAACACCTTTAGGAATGCATATTAATTCAAATGAGTTATTGCTAAAAATGACAAACCATACAGTTTTAAGAGAATGTTATATTTTTAATGTTTTATATGATCATTCCTCTTTATTAAAATTGTATTTAATATTTCCCCCAACTACAGTAATATAAATTTAGATTTACTATTTTTTAGACTGTGATCTTAAGTTATTTTGTTCGATTAGTTCCAGTTTTGGCTTTGGTACTGACTAATCTAATATATATTCACAAATAGACTATTGTATAGCATTTGTTTATTCAAATGGTTGAGTATGTGCCGAATATTTACCACAACAGCTTGTTTTTTGTCACTGCGTTATTTAATTAATTGTTCAAATTGCCTTGTTTCGTGTTTATAATTATAATTAAGCTGTTCTGACATTAGCTTGTGTGGGTCGTCAGCTGTCCAGGCTGGTTACCCTTCATGTCTCCATCTAGGCCCTAATTATCTAACCTGTTATCCTGTCTGGAAACATCCTGTGCGTTAAACAAGTTCTTATCTGGTAAAACAAGTCACGTTCAGCCACTTGTGTCACTCATTGTTAGAAAAAAAAACAGCACAGTGGAAACGTGAGGGTCGGCGGAGGCGATAGGAATCTGATACATCAAGCTGACGGAGAATTGGAAGCAAATAGGGAGGAAAAGTGCCTGATCTCTTTTGGTGACCTTTGTGCCTCTAATCCTGCCTTTGAGTCTGGCATCCAAGCCCCATTTCTGATTCCTCTCTCCGTCTGTGCAGGTATCTGCTGCCAGTCACCTCCCAGTTCATCATCAAGTGGCCATCTTCTAGCTTCGGCCGCTCTTCATCTTCAACGCGCCCCCGCAGTGTGTTTACCGCACGAATGGGGCACTTCTGATGACCCACAACCTGCTGGGGGAGAGAATATATTGACCTGTTTCGCAGGGCGCAATGCCTGGGACCTTCAACAAACATATTGATGGGGATTGTTTAATGCATATGATCGAGCAGTTCTCTGCCTCCTTGTCTGCTGTACAAAATGATCTGCTGAATTGTTATGTTTCTTAGGATGCTTGCAAATAAATTCATAACCTTCTCATCTTTACAAGGACTTCTACAACGGATTACAGCGCATTGTTGCAGGATCGTGGGTTCAGGAAAGACTTTATTCACTTTTCTTCAATGACCATGGTGTTATTTATTTGACTTATTTATTAATACACAACATGGCGTGACTTTATTAATCCTCACTTTAGCTTTTATATTATTTAATATTTATTTACAATTGGCCATTCACAGGATCTCGATAGAAATGGGAAACGCAATGTATATGATGACAGGCAAAAAAGCCAGCCGATTTGAATGTTATCACTGGATTAAATGGGCGTTATCAGTGGTTATCAGCTGATAGATATGGGCCAGTAGGGGCCTTCTGCACCTACTGGTACACTCAAAGTATTTTTTTGCTCGTTCAAGCTGCTTTAAAGTGAGAAAAAAATGAGCTAAAACAACACAATTCTTGAGATTTCATTGGGACAACTTAATTTTTTTTATGTTCAATCCATGTAAATTTGTGTTAGAACATCATGAATGAATTGTGTGGAACCCTGCATTTTTTATAGCTATCACATACATCTGCGGCTAGAAGGTAACGAGAATTATTTATTTAATGTTCCATTAATTATATTTTATTAACGTCTACCCCTACACCCAGGGCCGGATTAAGTGATTTGAAGGCCCTAAGCAACTCCAGCCACGGGGCCCCAAGTCTTGAAATGAATATAAAGTAAAAAAATAAAAGTAAAAATAGTTCAAATAAAGTGAAGAGAAATACTTTTATTTAATTTGTATTTATTTTGCAGCTTCTTTATCACTCAATCATCTTTTCTACGTTTATCTTAACATAAGCTTTTTAAATAATCAGATGTCTTAAAATTAATTTACAAATAAAAATATTTCTATATCTTTTTAGAAATTTGACTGCGGGACTGTTGAGGGTAGTGGACTTTTTTTGTATAATATTATTATTATTGCATAACACTACGTTATTATTTAATTGTATGTTAAATAATATTAAATTATGTAAAAAAATTATTTATTTTTTACTCTCACTATACAAAATCCGATAGAAAATGATGTAATATTTATATGTTTATCATAGGTATAATTTATACTTCTAGATATTTATTTATAGCCCTAAGTGGCCACTTACCTTTCGTATTGGTTAAATCCGCCCCTGCCTACCCCAACCCTAAAACCAATCTCCACAGTATTGTAAAAACAGATCTGATTCTAGAGTCTTCTTTATTCGTATAACTGATTAACCACTAGAATTATAAAAATTATTTATTAAATTTGCCATGAATTGTATTTTATTAACGTCCACCCCTACCCAAAACCCAACAATCACAGTAATGTCAAAACATATCTAGAGTCTTCTCTATTAGTATAGCTGATTAACCATGAGAATTATTCAAAGTATTTATTAAATTTGCCATTAGTTGTATTTTATTAATATCTACCCCTGCCCAAAACTCTAAACCCAACCATCACAGTAATGTAAAAACATATCTGGAGTATTCTCTATTAGTATAGCTGATTAACCATGATAAATATTTATATTATTTATTAAATTTGCCAAAAATTGTATTTTATTAACATCTACCCCAACCCAAACCCTAAACCCAACCATCACAGTAACGTAAGAGTCAATTAGTATAGCTGATTAACTATGTGGATGGTTAATAACAGCCATCTGAGCCTACAAGTAGGCACAGAAAGCCCCTACTTACCCATATCTACTAGCTGATAACCACTAATAATGTTCAATCGAGTGATAACATTCGAAGAGCATAAAAGCAGCCTCTTGTGTTCCAATGGCCTGTAACTATGTGAGACTAAAATCAGGAATTTGTTTTCCAGTATGGGGACCTCTTGTCTATTTCTTTAGATTATCAACCAGCTTGATTTATTCATTCAGAATAATACATGTGTTGTTGCATGCAGTCAGGAAGAACACATGCAAAAGACTATACTTCTGGAATTCATGTCATTTGAGTGCCCTTCCAAGGAAGAGAGAGTGTTAAGATATAGAGTTTGGGGTTGTATGGGTTGGTTTAGTGTTTTATCCCTATTAAGGTTAAGAGTTGTAAACGCTTGGAGTAGATGCTCGATGTTATACTAGACTATAGATGCCTGTTCTGAATTTAAAGTTGAGATCAACTAAAGGGATGCAAGTCTGTAAAAAAAAAAAAAAAAGTAGAAAAAAAGAGCCATATTGTGACGATGCAAATATGAACCTCAGCATCTGAGCTGTCCGACGTGTGTCCTAGCAGTGTTGAGAGGGATTTTCAACGTTGCTGCTGATAGAGTGTGTTTGGGTAATTTCTCTGAACTCAGTGTGCTAAAACTCGGACGGCTGCATCTTGAAGATACTTGAATTAATTTACGCTATTTATTTTTATTAAAATGTTTACATTTCATTTAAAGGTTTTGTTTATATGCTTGTTCGTTTTAACCACGGCATTACCAGTCCCAGCAAGCATTGTTTTGTTTTTAAAAGATATCTAATAGCAGCCTGATCTCACGAGGAAACGCAAGTATTTTACGTTTTGTCAGTTTAGTGGCTAATTCGTATGAATTCAAGTTCAGTCGAATGAAAATGTACGATTTTAAAAAGGAGGTGTGGCACCCAACCCCACCCTTATCCCCAACCGACATTGGGGGATTAGCAAGTCTTACTAAATTGAACTAATTACAATGTACGAATTCATACAAATTAGCCACTAAATCAAATAGTTACGACTTGTCATGAGATTAGGTTGCTAATAGACGTCTAAACATAGTCGTCGTGGCTATAACAAGGCTAAATTTGGGCTATCAGTGAAAATCTAATAGATGTCTTAGGATAGGCTAAAAGTAGACTAGTCATCAAACAAACACAACACATATAAAGTCTGTCTAATCGTTCTATATGACTTGGCGTATTCTTAGACGTCTATTAGATTTTCACTGACAGCCCAAGTTTAGCTTTGTTTTAGCCAAGCTGATTACATTTATTAGACGTCTATTTAACACAAAATTGTTCGCTGGGGTGTGTCAGTCATTTTATGAACGGATTAACCTTTAATGAAAGTACTGTACTAAGTGCTAATTGCAGAGCTTTGCTTTGAATCTGATTAGAGTAAATGTTGATGTAGTGTTGTAGTAAAAGTGACCTGGATGTGCAAGCTCAAACCACACTGGTGCCAACACTACTCAGCAGTGTGTTGTTGAGGAGCTCTGTGTGACTGTCGGCAATATCAATCATTCAATATCATTCAGAGTTTATGGAATTGAGAATGTGCTGTTTAAAAACCTTGGCTGCTGTCTTTTCACCCATCCCCCCCCCCCCCCCCCCCTATTTTTTCTGTTTGTAAGTAGTGATGGTGTTCACTAACAGCTAACTGTTTAATTCCTTCTGGAAACAGTGTTCACTCATTCAGCACACCGTTTCAGGATTCATTTTCCTTTTGTCCATCATGTCACAATGCCAAATCTTATTTTTTGCCTGGATTTTCATTCAGGAGAATGGTTTTTAATAGCAATAAAAGGCTTAAAACATTGAAACATCTGGAGAATTGTGTTTGAAAATCTCATTGAGCTGCGTCTGACCTCTCTGACTTTTGCTTCTTTCTCTTCAGGGTTTCTAAACACAAGGTATCTTACACACACACACACACACACACACACACACACACACACACACACACACACACACACACACACACACACACCACACATACAGTGAAATCCACAGCATGACACTTCATGTCATTCCACACTGTCTCACACGAGAGTTCAGTGCATAACCTTGTCATGTTTTGATCTAACCTGAGGTCAGTCTTGAAAACTAAAAACTGCACTGCAAAAACTGCTTGTTTCGTCCCTTGTCTCTTATAACAAAGGAGAGGCTGTGATGATGTTACTTAGCAACAGCAGAGAAAAGCAGTGAAATTGAAACGTGCGTTGACACATCGGTGTGATTCTTGAATCAACGAAATGAAAGTGTCAACAGCTGACACTTGATACAAGCTTTGATTAAAGTCAGTACACTCTGCCTTTATTTCTTTATTTTTTGCTATTGTCCTAACTGCTTTTGCAGTTTTATGAACAGCCAACAATATAGCCGTGCTCATTTTCACAATGACTGAAGGTCATGAAGTCGCTGCATAGTTGTTTGCTTCTTCTTTTACTGCAGTATTCGAACTTATGATTTGATGACATTACTGTTGAATTATTAAAAGAGCCCCAATTATACATTAAAAATGGTTATATTTTGGTTTTAAGAGTCTCCAACACAAGGCTGACATGCATGCAAGGTCAAAAAACACTTTGATTGTCTTATAATATACAGTTATTTTTTCCTAATTATCCCAGAGACTCCCATACGATTCGTTCAGCATGTCATATGTTCCCAAACCCCTCCCTAGCGCGAAGCTAGTCTGCGCTGATTGGACCGATGACAGTCTGTTGTGATTGGTTGACAGCGTTTAGCATGAGACAGAGTGAAATGCCCACCATGGCTTATCAACAATATTGTAGTCAAGAGTGGAGAATACCTGCCAACACTCCTGTTTTTTTTCTGGGAGTCTCCTGTATTTCAGACCCATCTCCCTCCACCCTCCTGTTTTGTTATTTATCCCGGACAACAATCGAAATTTCAACCACCACCCCACAATTAAATACATAATTTGCAAGCTAGAGAAAACAAGGAGGCAACCATTTTTCATGAACTGTGTACTGTAAAGTCGAGCTCTGACAAAGTCCCATACAGCAATAGTCTTTTCTGATCCTTTTTTTAACAAACGGCCGACGAATCCCCCGTTGTAAGCGTGTAAACTACTAGTGGTAAAAGCACATGGCCACAATGGCTTTTCTCTTATAGTTGGCTTTTGAAAACATTAGCCGCGTTTGCACTATCGTGCCTGAAGCGAGCGAGTTAAGGCCAGTCGTGTTTCCACTGTAACTTCCGGGGTCTTATCAGGCCAAAGCGGGGCTTTCTCAGGGCAAGCGGTTGGCTTTTTTTGGCTAGCTGAATACCTTGGGCCAAAGAGGGCCAGCTGGGGCTTCGGAGTAAAAGGAGAGATGGACGTTGCCTGAGTAAAGATAGCATGCCGTCATTACACTAGTTTTCCGATCGCACGCGAATACATTCGCCAAATAAATAAATAAATAAGGGAAAGAAAGCATAGCTGGTCAGTTTAAGATAGGCTATTCCATAAAACACCTTATAGGCTAAGAGTCTTTTCGCTTGTGATCGTCCTTATGTTTCCCTTTTAAATGTAAGGGTTTATATTGCATAAAATAATACAATTTAAACTTTTAGCCTAAGTGACTTTTCTTTGCTGCGTCCTCCTTGATTCTTCAATTGCGCATTAAAGACACAGCAGCCAGTAAAGGTTGTGGAGAGTTTTTGTCAAGTTTAAAAGGTGTGTTTGTGCATGATACGGGCGCGTTTAGATGCCTGTTTGTGTAAGAGACCGGGCAAAAGAGCGCTTGCTTGACAGCTCTGTTGATGTCGCGAGCGGCTTCTTTTTTATTTCTTTATTTTGGAGTTAATTCAAAATATGAATACAACAGAAAGACATAAAACTTTACAAATTAACTGTCCACTTTTGTATGCTCAAAACAATAGTGTCATGTCTTGATAAAATATCTGATACAAATATCTGATGTTATAAAATCACATTAAATAAATAAACCAATATAAAACAAATAACAGCTACAGTAGCTATAACAATGTAGGTATTAGGAATGCCACGATTCTCAATATAATATTGAACCGTACGGTACGACCTCCACGGTTCAATACACGCTTGTGAATTGCGGTTTTCTCGGTTTTGCATTTAAATTATTTATGTGCGTATTATATATCCCTGAATTGACTGTGTGTGCCTCTAAATCTATGAGCTGAGATGAGGAAACTCCTCCCCGTGAGTAAATATCCAGTCACTATGCTCTAAAGTTAGGGGGCGCTTGACCATTATTTAACACTTTAACATTGCGAGCGGCGGTGAAGTCAGGCTGAGGCAACAGTACAAGGAAGTGCCGGTGAAGTGAGGCAACAGTACGAGAAAGCGCCGGCGTCTTTCAAATCTGCGGCGTGAGGACATTTCGATTTTGCCGTTAAGCATAATGCCAGTAAAAAAAAAAAAAAAAACGGTGAACAAAAAATAACTGTGTGCAAGCATTGTTTTACACATATAACCATGACTGCACATCTGCGGCGCCATCACCCAGCAACATCACAGTCTGAAGGCAGGATAGCAGAGAAGGTAATCAAGTCCTCCAAATAGCAACAATCCCTCGCTGAATCTTTCAAGCAAACATACTCAACTGGTTCAGAGAGACACATAAAATAACAAAGGTAGTGCGGGTGTTTATTGTTAAAGATTTGCAGCCGTTTTTGGTGATTGGAGATGTGGGCTTTTGTCATTTAATAAAAGCACTCGATCCGCGTTACAGGCTACAGTCTCGTATTTTTTCAGCACCGAGATAATTAAGATGGTTTATTTATGTTTACTTAAGTACAAATATTTTTATTTGAAATGGCCAATTTAATTCTTTAATCTTTAATTCTTTATTAACTTCATGTATGTTTATTTTAGTGTAGGATTTTATGTGTTCCCCAGTTTGTACATGGTCTACCAGCAGCTGTATGATTTCAGTCTTAATTTTTTTCATACAATACACCAGGAACTACTGTACTTTTCTTGGCTTTTAAGTTAAACAAAATGCGTATTGCAATAAACCATTTTTTTTTCTCCTTCACCTCTTACTGTTCCTATTGCCTATAGAATTAAAAAAAACACACACATGTCAAGCCATGAGAACCGAACGGAAAACCATGTTAAAAAACCAAGGTATGTATTGAACTGTGAGTTAACTGTATTGTTGCATCCCTATAGGTATATACATATTATATAAATTAAACCGTTTTTAAGCCATATATGACTTTCATTTTACAAAGGCCTGTCTGAACATTTTTTTTTAAATATTTTCTAAAAACAAAAAACACCAGGGGCCTCATGTACGAAGACATGCGTGGAAATCATACTAAAACATTTTTACATCTGAATTTTTTTCTGCGTACGCACATTTACAACTTTGTGCGTACGCAGAAAAAAATTCAGATGTATGAAACACTGCGTACGCCGAATCTCACGCATATTCTTTTGTACATCTGAATGAACGTGAAACTGAGCGCAACATGCACG